TGTCAACTCTTCCTAGAGTAAAAGTAGAACATGTGTAGGAGTGACCATAAGTTGGGAATGTAAGCTTACCTTTTGTTGTGAAACATCGTAGTTAACTACTGCGCCTGCATACTTCCGCAGGATGCGTCGCGCACGACGGCGCGGCGGACTGTGTTTATCTTGGCAGTCCTCCGTTCCACTTGATATTGTCAAAATCACAAGAAGTCCATTAAACATCACAAAGATTATGTCCCAGCCTAATACCGAACTTTTGGGTTGTTAGACAAAAAAGACATCTGAAATGTAGCCGCTTCAAACATCCCTCAAATGTTTCCATCAGTCAGACATATTGTTTCCAATTCCAGGTGTCGATGTTCAAGACAGTAGGAGCGGACGCATTGGGAATGTCAACTTGCCATGAGGTCACGGTGGCAAAACAATGTGGCATCAAAGTCCTCGGGTTCTCCCTCATCACAAACATGTGAGTTCCCAAAAACTTCGGTACGAGGGTTTGTTCTTAAATCTACCATTACAGAGCTAATACCGACGTTGATAGTGCCGTGCTCGTTTCCCACGCAGAAGTACTGCAAACGGCTAAGGAGGCCGGTGATCGAGCGTCGAAATTTGTCAAGGAGATCATCAAGCATTTCCCTTCAGATTCCTCCTAGAGCATTGATCATCAGTGTAGTATTATGGAATATCAAATTCAGCTCTAGAGATTACAATTTTCGTCCTTCAAATTTCTGTTTCCGGTATTATAATTTCTGTGTACATAATAATCCTAGTGCCTTACGAAGTGGGAGTTTCATTGGTAAAGGGAGGTACGCTCTGTGAGTAGAATAGGATAAGATTATAGCGTTACCTCCAGACGTACTGCCTACCCACGTCGTCAATACAGTAATTATAATATGCCACCGATTTCTATACTGCGTTGTGCCTTGAATAAAAATCCGTGAAAACGGCGTTCTCTTGAACAAATCACAGGCGAAGAAGTAGTAACATTTTCTCAGATTTCTCACATCCAGACATTGATTGCATCAGTCCAAAAGGTTATTTCGTGGTTTAAGCATAATTTGCCTAGGCAGGCGGGTCATGGAATCTCCCTGATGTTACGGCCGAGATGTCGTCCCCAGTGGCCTGTCAGAAGTCTTAGATCGGGAGCAAATTTCACGCTCTCCCTCGCATGAGCGGAGCTGGGCCTACTGTTGTGCCAAGGAGCACACGGCGCACGTTCACCCTTCACTGCAAGGAGGAGTGCACAAGTGTGAAAGGGGCAGTGGTACACTCTAGTTCGCTGCGGACGGTTGGGCGTGTCAGCCAGTATGAGTGTCACCCGTCAAAGCCGTTCTCTGCCTTCTTGTTGAAACGCGCATGCGACAAAAAGTGGTAGAAAACGAGCAGTATTGTCACTTGCCCGCTTCAACAACTGGTGGAGAACGAGTTTGGCACCGCGCCAAACGCAGCCGCACTGACACGCCCAACCGTCCGCAGCGAACTACACTATAGGTACGCCTCCGCCTTTGACTGAAATCCATTTCAGCGAACACACATCATTTCTTCTTATGTGGCAGAGTGTCAGGGACAACGTAAAAGATCCAAGTTGGAGATCCAATATAGAGCATTCGTCAAGTGTCGTAAGAAAATTATCTCGTCACACCCAAGCATCAGTGCTCCTTGGCCCCAAGAGCGCGAAG